ATGTAGCTTAGCTATTAATCTGATCAGGAAATTTTTAGTATCAATTTAGTGTGTTTAAAACTTAATATAATGAATTACTATTGTAATACGGAAAAAGTAGATATGTTACTAATATTTGGCAAGTATAGAAGAAATGCACGCAATGCAGTGGTTTTGTACTGAAAATGATATCTGGATAAAGCTCATCCTTCTGCAAAAAGTTTTTGTAATACTGAGTGTTCTTTACGGTTACATGGCATGTTTTTATCTGGAAAACGTGTCAATCGTACTAGACCAGTTACTAATGATAACGCTGTGTTAGTACTGGCCAATTTTGAAGTTAATCTGCATACTTCTACTTGAGCAGTCGCTGCAGAAATGGATATATCACATTGTTAATTTTGAATTAAAATGTAACATAAAGTAACATTGTATGCAATCATTAAATTATTGTTAAATTTATTGACGGTTACAAATTGATAAATTTGTGATTAATGACAGCTTTTGTCAGATTATTGTAAATGCCCTAAAAATCGTGGCAATTGTTACGAGAACCACCTTTATAAGATTAAAATATAAAATATCTCGTAAACTATTCACTTTTTGACCATCCTATTCTTATAATTGTTTATGCAGAATATTGTAAGGAATCAATTTGTGTAAAAAAATATGATGGTTCCATTTAAAAAGTTCAAAGTGACATTAATTTGTTTATAAAAAAAATGTTTTTATTGCATGTTATAGCTTGCGTAAAGCAAATTAAGTTTCACTGTATGAACTTTCTTTTAAACTGGCAGAAATGTCCCAAAAATCGTGGCGACCGTTACGAGAATCACCACCTTGTGCGTATATATATATATATATATATATATATATATATATATATATATATATACTTTTAGAATACAAAGCTAACAATTACAGCAAATAAAAAAATTTCAGCGTTAATTAAATAATTTTATCTTTAAGTAATATTATAAACAATCTGTATGTATGAATATCTGTATATATGTATTCTTAAAAGCAATAATTGCCATATTTTTCTATTATTTAATTACAAAATATATATATAAAAGAGAAAATATTTTATTGGAAAAAATATTTATATAACTAATATTTATGTATAATTTTATAGATGTATAATTTTATCTTATATTTTAGGATCGCGCATGCATCGTGTGACTAATTTTGATAAGAGAGTGCTGGTTTGGGTAAAACGATATCCAAGTATTGCAGATGTTCCTGTAGATGTTACGTATGTATTACATTTATATTTCCTTATTATTAATTGTTTAGTAAAAATACAAACATTTGAAATGTAAGTTTGATTAAAATAACATATAAGAATAAATATAAAAAACTGATTTTCTCTTTTTAGTTAAGATTTTAACATTGGCAATTATAAAATTATAAAAAATATAACAAATAATTTTTATTAAAAATTCTTTAATAGAAACAGAGAAGTTAATTAAAAATGAAATTTCAAATTATGATTTAATTTCTTAGTATTATATAAGGAAAATTAATAGGCTATATACAGAACAAATCAGTTTCAACAAAGAATTAATTGTTCCTAGAAACTTATGCTCCACCTACTTTTCGAGTCCGCTCTTACTACCCATTTCTAATAAAAATTCTTAATTTTTTAAAAGTAAATTTACATTAATTTATAACTTTTTTGTGTAATTAATTTTTTATTATGTAAGGTGTTTTGAAAGTCTGGAAATGGTTGAATCTCATAAACAATACATTTTAGAAAAAATATTTCAAATAAAAAATTGTATAGTTTAAGAATATTTATTTCTAAATTTTCATTTTAAACTTGCGTGGCGTTGCTAAGGTCAGGGCAGGATTATCTTAATTTTTTTTTTAATGGAATCACCAATTATCAATATTTTTTGCATAAATCAATTCCTCGCAACAGTCTGTATAAAAAATCATAATGGTATAATGTGAAATATGAACAATTTATAAGATACATTATACTTTAATTTCACATATATATTTTATAAACTATGAAATATTTCATCAAATATATATTTATTTTCTGATTATTTTACCTCAATACTTTTATAAAATAATGAGAGGAATCAATTGATGTAAAGAAAAACACATAGTTGTTTTTAAGAAAGGGTATGTAAGTATTTGTCGTAAATTACAATACTTTTTCTTAATAACAACTATGTATTTTTTCTTTATACCAATTGATTCCTCTCATTATTTTATACATAAAATACTTGTCTTTATCTGATATTTGATCGTTTCCAGACTTTCAAAATCCACCTTGTATATTATTTGATAAATAAATATTTTCTTAAACAGAGTGGAATGTTTACTTGCTGCAAGGAGTAAAGCACGAATTAAGGCCTGTAATTACATGATTGTGGCTACCTTAATAGGTTGTATAGGTGCTGTAATACTTGGAAAAAGACAAGCTGCAAGAGGAGAAACTTTAACTAAACAAAGAGAAGATTGGTTTAAGGAAATGTTAGCAGAAGAAAAAAAAGAATAAATTTATAAATATAGAAAAATATGTAGAGAAATAAATTAGAATTTATTTATAGATATGGTACAAATATATATACACTTTTTTCGAAAAGCATAAACATAATAAAGTAATAATATAATAAATATTAGCAATTGTTATTATTTTGTTATTAATATTTTATAGTAATATTATACTTAAAATAAAAATCACAAATTTTTTATTTAATTTTTTGAGAACTGTAGCATTTTAATCGCGATTTTAACTTGTATGCATTTTAATTATTAAATTGCTTTATATATTATAAAATGTTTGTATGTTATGTATACAGGCACTATATGTATAGGGTGTCCCATTTAACTTTAACATCGAAATATCTCGTAAAGTCTAAATGATACAAAAAAATATTTCAAACAAAAGTTGTAAGGTTTCGAGAGGGACATAAGATCGTTATATTGATTTGATCTTAAATAGTCATTTAAAGATCACGTAAAGGTCACCTTCAATCTCTTAAATGGAGAAACCTATTTTTCATTGCATATTCTTATAGGTTATTTCAAGAACTTTCCAAAACTAGAGTATTTTTCAAATTATAAAGATTTGAAGTTAACAATTTTTTGACATAAAATATAAAATATCTTGTAAAATATTCAGTTTTTGGTAATCATACACCTTAATACTTTTATGCAGAGAATGTGAGACCAATCAATGCTTTTTTCCTTAAAAAACGCATGTTAAGTCGATTATTCGAATATATCGAAATTGTTACGTTTAGACTCAATTAAAGGAAAAGTCGAAGGAAGGACGCAACAATACTTAGTCCTCAAACAACGCTTGGCGGTGCGTTTGTTCGAGCCGAGCGAACGTGCGAAGGCCCAAATACGTCAGTGACCGAGAGTGTCACTATACGCTATTTAGAGGCTGTTCTCTCGGTGGTCCCTTTTTGGCAAGAAAATTAAATCTCTTTTGCTCAGGATGGGACCTAATGCGATTATTGGGAGGAGAAGAATGAGAGAGGAGAGGGTTAATTAATTAAAAGTAGAAGATTCATGACATAATAAATTCATTTATTAGTTAAGTAAAAAACGTTCTTAAATTCTACACGTTAATTCTAGTGGATTCTTGTGTGGGTGTGTGTGTGTTTCGCGGGTGATACATAAGTACGAAGGCCTTCAATCGGGACTAGTGGGGAGAGAGTTGGTGTTAAAAATATATAAGGGTCCCGATTGGATATTACAAAGTAGGTACGTTAAATAGCTACTTATCTACGTGTATGTGTGTGTGTGTGTTTGTGTGCGTCGGAGTCATTGGATGTTGGTGATTCTGGTGGAGGGGAGGAAGCTTGAAGGATCTCCACAGGAAATCCTACCGGGTGTTCGTAGCCAGGAAGGAACATAGGGATAAGGGTGCCCGGGGAACTTCCTTTTACGATTCTAATGAATTGCTCTTCATCGAAATCGGAGTCGCTGCACCAATAGGCACCGATGGGGGGAGGAAGGCTTAGGAGAGGGAAAGTGGAGTACATTCAATGTGCGAATTGCGCATCATCGTCATCCTCCGGAAAAGGATTTCTCTCGCAAGCCCTGATAAAATCAAAGGCGTATGAGTGAAATGGGGGGATGAAATGGGAATTTATGTGCTCAGTTCCTGGAATAAAATAGGGTAGGTGAGAGAAGAGAGTCTGAACGAGATTCCGAGGAGGAAAGGGATTTCTCCTCTTCGTCTGCGAGATCGATCGTCTCGATCCCGAGAGAATCTATGATTCTCTCAGAGTCCTCGTGGGGAACGGGGAGTTAGATAGGTCTATGATGGGTGGAGACGAGGGTCTGGGAAAATCCCTGTGTTCAAGGAAGGGAAGACGATTCCTCCGACGGGGAAATGGGAGAATAGTGTCGAGTTCCAGGGTAGATCCTTAATAATGTTATCGATTATTTCTAAATTAATGGTAGTTTCATGGTCTCTGGTCCACGGCCCTAGCCTAGCCCTAACTTCCCGGTGAATTTGAATAGGGTCAACCCCGGGGAAGTCCGACGTAACTCGGGCGACTGCGCGCTTAATTCGGCGATTCCGACGATTCCGCGCGTGAAGTATCGCGGTCCGCGATCGCCAGGGTTTATTACCGTCTACTACGGATATAAATGGTTAAAATAACCGAGACAGAAATAGCCGCAAACAATAATAATAATAATAGTAATAAAAGTAATTATAATTCTTGGATTATCGGAATTAAAGAAAAACTAGAAAATACATATTGTTACGTCCCTGGTTTACATCCCCTGAGCACCTTCATCCCTTTTCATCCCCTGAGCATCATTGCTAGGAGGGTTGTTTATAGACAACCGGCGTTCAAATGTTTTTCCGGCGCCATGACTAGATTTGGTCTAGCTGTCGCACCGTGCGGACACTTACGAGACCAATGAGCATTCTGATCTATTACATATTGTATTTCTTCACTTTATTGTATTGGATCGTTTCATTAAAACTCCTTTCCACATTACGAGAGTTTGTTCATTCCGGGCGCGAGTGAGAGTGTGTGTGACACCTTTCGTGAGATAGTGCAAGAGACGTCACGAAGACGTAACAATATATATATATATTTATGTGAGAGGAAAAAGAAGGATAAGGGGGGGGGGGGGAATTATGCCAAGAAATCTATTATAGTTCTCATAAGAGGAAAGGGGATCGTGAATCTCTCGCTGCGGGAAATTCTCACAAGTTTTCAAGGGAGAGAAAATCGCGAATCTTTCGCTGATGCGAGAAATCCTCATCGATTTTCAGGAGGGAGAAAATCGTGAAGCTCTCGCTGGTGCGAGAAATTCTCACAGATTTTCAGAGAAGAGAAGGAAAATCGTGAATCTCTCGCTGGTGCGAGAAATTCTCACAGATTTTCAGGGAAGAGGAGGAAAATCGTGAATCTCTTGCTGATGCGGGAAATTCCCATAGGTTTTTAGGGAAGAAGAGGAAAATCGTGAATCTCTCGCTGATGCAGGAAATTCCCATAGGTTTTTAGGGAAGAGAAGGAAAATCGTAAATCTCTCGCTGGTGCGAGAAATTTTCACAGATTTTCAGGGAAGAGAAGGAAAAGCTAGAAAGACACTGGCGTTATATATATATATATATATATATATATACATATATATATATACAGGGTAGGCCATTTTAATCTTTCCACTAAAATTTCTCAAAATCCAAAAATTTAAGACAAAAATGTTTTAGATAAAAGTTGTATGGTTTCAAGGGGGACATGAGATGGTGTCATTGATTTGACCTTGAATAGCCATTTAAAGGTTACGTGAAGGTCAACTTCAATTTCTTAAATGGAACACTATATTTTTTCTTGCATACTTTTGTAGCTGACTTCGAGATCTTTCCAAAACACTACAATAAAATATTTTTTTATGAAGTATTTTTCGAGTTATTAAGGCTGCAAATTTGCAGTATTTTGACATAAAATACAAAATATCTTGGGAAATATTCATTTTTCGATTATCATACCTTAATACTTTTATGCACAGAATAATGAGATAAATCAGTTGATGTAAAGAAAACACATTTTCACGAAATTAGTACCAAAATGTTGTAAATTTTTCTGAGAAAACTGCTGTTTTATTTTTTTAAGTTTACGCCTCCACCCACACACCCACCCACGCAAATGTATATTTATGAACCGATTTTTTTTTAAATTGGTACCAAAATGTTGCAAATTTTTTGGAGATGGCGACGATGCGGTTTTTTCAAGTGTTACATCTCAACCCACGCACCCGCCCACGCATTCACACAAATTATATTTTTGAATAAATAATTCTTAACTTTTTAAAATTTAATAATTAATATCTTTAATATAAAAAAATATTTATATTTAAATAATCAATTTACTTTATTTGAATCTTCTTCAACTTTTCTCTTAATTGGCAAATATACGCCTTTTAACAGTGCCTGTAATGGTATGTGCCCATCTAATTTTTTTATGTTTTTAATATCTTTTACGAGTAGATATATCGGATTATCTGTTAAAAAAAAATTTTTTTAATTAAAATTTAAGTTTACTAGATAAGTGTTCAGTAATTCACATTGTAAACCAAAATAAATAGATATATATACATATACATAAATTTCTAACTTATTGAAATTTCGTATATTGTATTTTAGTTGTTTTTTATTTATTGTATATTGTTTTGTTGTTGTTTTTATAATATTATTTTGTTATAATTTTAATTCTTTGAAATTTTATAATAAATATAATATGTATAAGATTATATTACCTTTTGATTCAATTACACCTGTCACTTGTATTTTATCCCCTTTTATTATATTTAGTGATTTAAATTCGTCAAAATCGAAATTTATTATATGAACTTCTAATTTAAATTTACCATCTGTAATGGAACCGTAACCGATCAGTTTATTAAATTTGTTATCGAATATTTCTGCAAAGTTTGTTTTCACATAAGCTTTCAATACTGCAAAATATGAAAAATATATTAGAATATACAAAATATGTGATTTAATAAACTACAATATAATAAATCTTATAATTAAAAATGAGTAAAGTTTGAAACATAAATTTAATTTAAGTATGTTGCCTTCTAAGCCGGGCAATAGAGCCAAGGAAACGAAACGAAAAATTAATTAAACGGAACTGTATCTCAATTTGAGATCCCAAAGTTCCACATATAAATTAATTTCGAAACTTACATATGGAGAAATAAGCGAGAAAAATATAGGTCCGAAAAGTCGCTGAAGCGGGAATCGAACCCGCGTCTTTCACTTTCCGGGCGACTGCTCTTACCAACTAAGCTATTCAGACCCTTTCGATCCCATATTTTTCATTTGCCTTTTAAGTAGATGTTAGTAAATACCGCCGGCTCTTAGATAAACAAAATAAATTCAATAATAGGAATATTCGTCCTATCCAATATTATTACACGTGTACGAAAGAATTTTCTTCAAGGCCATGTGAGTCAGGGCCGTCTCAGTCTCTCAGCGTTTCCTTGAGCCCGACTTCCTTTGTTTCTTTAAATCCTGATGTTGCTGAC